CCTTCTCTCCAGGCTGATGGTGAAAACATCTGGGATGAGTTTAGATCTTCTCCTACAAAAACGAGGGTTTGCTGTCACTGCTGTGGTTTCAAGCATCTCAACTTTTTTTTTTCCAGGCCTGAAGCCAGAGTTTCTAAGGCTGAGACATCCTTAGGGATGTGGCATCTCTGGTGACCTCACTCCCAGGTGTGACAGCTCTTGGTGAGACAACTCGAGCCCTGTGGCCACATCCCTGCTTCCAAACTGGGGTGTGTAAAATCTCCTGTGGAGGGTCCAGGACTGCTTGAGTCCATGGTGCTCTTCCTAAAGAGCCTCCATCATCATGGAGTGATCAGTGCTGCCTGGGAACAATTACCTCCCAATTTCTATCCCAAAACTTGGCCTTTCCATGCGGATGCAGCAGTGTGGTCCTTCCAAGCCGATTTTTTGCTCCTGCATCAGTCTCCACGGCCAAGGAAGTGCCACCATCCCTCTGCCCTTCCTGCTGTCCCTGCAGATGGGGAGCAGCTTATGTGAGTGCTGTAGCTCTGACAAAGCCTTTGGATCATTTGCAGCAGCTCAGCTGGAGCTCCTGGAAGCAAAAAGCACCTAGAGGGAAAAAGCACCTGGAGAAAAAGCTGGAAGATGCTTAGCTGGTTCTCACTTGGACAGGCGGCTGCTCCACAGAACGGCTCTGATTCCCCCAAAACTGCTGTGGAGAAGCATCTCCTTTTGGAGGAAGGTCTCAGCCCTGGGGCTCCATGTTTAGGGTGAGGATCCCCCCAAACCTTGCCTCACTCCCAGAAATTCAGGACAGCACAAACACCACCAGGTTCAGACCGTCCAGGCAGGTTTATTCCAGGCCCAGCTTGGCTAGGTCTGGAGCATTTTCCAGGCAGACACCCAAACCCTGAAAACCCTCTGGAGCCCTGGATGGAGGCAGTGATTAACCTCCCAGATTACATGGGCTGGGGATCCTGGAGAGTCTCCAAAAATCCAGGCAAGGAGGGGTGAGAATGACCATCAACTGGCTCAGCCCTGGCAAAACACAAACCTCCAGCATCCATTTTGCTCCCTCTTTTATAGGGGTGTGTGTGTGTATATAAAATATATATATAGAATCATGTGATATGTAATTAAATCACCACCGTAACAAGGTTGGATACAAACAGCTCAAGATCAAGAGTAAAAATGACTCAGTCCAGATTGTCCCCTCAGCCCTGCAACAGTCCGGCCCCAGCACTTCCTGGTGCAGCATCCTGGCCTCTCCCTCCTCCACGGGGAATGCTGCTGGCTGGGATGGAATTCCTACAGCTTGGCATGGCGGTGGAAAGCTGGCATGTGCTGGGAGCCACAGGAGTGGTGGCTGTGCCATGGGTAGGGCCGGTGGCGCAGGGAATTCCCGTAGGAATTGGGGTAGTGCCCAGGGCCAGTGCCCAGAGGCCTGCACAGCTCTGGGGGCTGTGTGGAGCCCACCACCAAGGGGCTGAGAAAGGCTGGGATGACAAAGGGGTTGTCAGAGAGTGCAGGGGTGACGGGCACGCCCTGAGTTTTGAGGTGCTCCAGGGGACTCCTGAAGCTTGGTGGGAAGTGCAGTGCAGCAAAGCTGGGACTGGCCACTATGGGCTTGGGCTTGGCCAGCCCGTGGTGGCTCCCTAGAGGGCTGGAGCCCATGTTCCTTCTCTCGACCTCCGTGGAGAAGGGGGACACAGCGCCAAATTTGGGGCCAAAGGGCTCCTCGTCATCCTCCTCCTCCTCCTCCTCATGGTCATGCCCAGCCCTGGCAGTGGGTCCAGCCCCAGGGGGCACCCAGGCCTGCACGGTGGCCCCCCAGCTCTCCCACGCTTTGCTCCGCAGGTCTTGGGGCTGCTCCGGCTCCGGGAAGGAGGGAGGTGGCTCAAAAAAATCCTTCAGGTTGGACAAGTAACCCCAGAGTGGATGGGGGGTGCCGGGCGGGAGCCCCTCACTGCGGTAGGCATGGAAGTAGCCGGTGAACATGGCAGGTGCTGAACCCTTGTTCTCGGCCTGGGGGCACCCCTGGATGTCTGTGCCCCCAGGGGATACGCTGGTGGATGGTCCCACCTCATTCCCAATGCTCAGAACTGTATCCTGAGCTCCCAAGGGCTCTGGGCTCCTCTTGGGGGCCGGCTGGGGCAGGTCGTGGACGGTGGTAGCATCACTTGGTGCCCAGTGGCCCTCGGGGCAGTGGCGTTTGTGGCAGCGCAGGGACTCAGCCTCGCTCACCTGGGCCAGTAGCTTCTTCTTGGCTAGCGGGGACATGATGGGGTGGTTCCCTTTGGAGTAGAAGCTGGAGAAAAGGCACTTGTAGGTCTCACTGTGGGTCTGGCAGGGGCTGGGACACCCTGCCGAGGGGCTGGGGGTCAGGACTGCCAAGCTGGAGCAGTGGGGTGGCATTGCTGGGATGGATCCCTGGGTCACCCGGCCCTGCTTTGGGATGTCCCGGGCAGCCTCTGTGCCAGCTGTCACCTCTGGTTTCACCTTGTCCAGACGCATCTGCAGGCAGAGGGGGTTACTGGGAGGTGGGTGCTGCATCCTGAGATGGGCTCCTGGATCCCCCCAACTTCATTCCCTCTTTTCCACTCCCTTTTTCCAATCACCCTCCACTCCCTTTTCCCAGTGATCCACATCCCTCCTTGCTCTTCCCTGCGCACCCCAGTGGGTGACGGATGGACACGGGGGTCTGAAGCTGTTCCCAAAACTTCGAGAGGAGCCACACACCTGCTCCCTGCCCTTCTCCTTCCTGGCCCTCTTGCTCTTGTCGTCCCTGGAGCCCTTGTATTGCTTGCGGGGTTTGCTGGGGGGCAGCGGCTTGTCCTCCTCCCCCTTGAGGTGCCGCACGTAGGGAAGGACCAGCCTGTGGATGGGTGTGGCACACAGTGAGAACTGGCCCTGGGAAGGAGAGCTGAGACCCAGGCACCCCACCAAGTCCCCTTGTGTGCCCACCTCTCGTAATGGCGCCGGGTGCAGGTGGCAGCGCTAGTGCTGCCGGGGCTCCCCCCGAGCTCATCGTATACATTCTTCCAGAGCCGACGCCCTGTCACCTGCACGGGGAGGTAGGGGTGAGACCAGGTGCTCAGGGGACAGCCATGACATCCAGGGGACAGCCCAGTGTGCACAGGACATCATGGTGTGCATAGAACATCCCAGCATCCAGGTGACATCTCAATGCCCAGGAGACATCCTGAAACCCATGGACATCCTGGCACCCAGGGAACACCCAGGGGACACCTTGGCACCCAGGGGACACTCCCACACTCAGGGGACATACCGACACGCACTGGACGCCAGCACCCCCCCAGACACCACTTACCAGCTCATAGGCTCCCAGCTTCTCCACAGCTTTGTAGATCTTCCAGAGGTTAACTGGCAATAAAGAGGAGAGGCCGAGGGTCAGGGGGACACGAGGGGTCTCCCTGTCCCCAGGGAATTTGGGGGGGTCCATACTCTGCTTGAAGCCAAGGTGGGGGATCCTCTCAATGGGGGTGTGTCGATCCTTCATGAACTTGTAGAGACTGACCAGAAAAGCCTCCTCCTCCTCCTTCTCCTCCTTCTCCTTCCCTTCCCCCACCGGCTTCTCCCGCTCAGATCCATCCTCAGGACCCAGATCCTCCTGTGGGACACAGGAGGGAGGAAATTTGGGGAAACTGAGGCTGAGCAGCAGCTCCCTCCCCCCTCCCCCCCCCGCCTAGCGATTTAAGCAACTCTGGGCTAGTTTTTGTCAGCCAAGTTGGTCAAAGCTCTGGATCCAGGCAAAAACACGAGGAACAGCTTCCAGGAAAACAGAGGGGCAGGAATTCCTCCTCCCCCCTCCCACCGCCGCCGCCTTTCTCAGCTAAAAATGTGCCCCGTTTGTTTGTTCTACAGTTTCCAGAGTTATAAAACTTGTTGCTATTTTTGGGCAAAGCAGCTGCTTGGCTCCCAAGTCCAGCCTTTGATTCTTTTTTAGGGTTTTTTTTTGGTGGTGATTCTTCTCTCGATTCATTTAAACTCTTGTGACAGATGCCAGGTTTTAACGGCTCAACTATTTTGAGGCTTTTTTTTTTTTGGGTGGAAGAAAGAGTCGCTGAGGAGGGAGGGTGATCCAGCGCCACAAAATCTAAACACTGTCTTCTCCTCAGGATAAAAACTAATTATAATAAGTATTACTTATATGGGACAGCTCATTTTTCCTCTAGAAAATGGTGGTTTAGGTCTGGTTTTCACTCTTCTCTTCCTCATCCTCTCTTTCACTGATGGTCAAAGTGCTGCTTGCCCTCGTCCCCCCACCAAATTTGGGAGGGTTCAGCACACCCCTTAAAATCCCGGGGTGAACTCACGGTGGTATGGCTGGTGGTGGCTTCTTGGGGGTCTTGTTGCCCTGGTTGCTCCATGGGGGGGAGTCGTTGGCTTTGAGTTTAGGAGGGTCCTGAGGGGAAAAAAAAAGGGTGCGGGGAGTGAAAGACCCCAAATTATTGCTTTAGGAAGGGTCCTGAAAGGGGGAAAAAAAGCGGGGGGAAGGGGAGTTCAGACCCCAAATTGTTGCTGCTCCCATAAAATTCAGGGGAAATCAGGATAATTCGGGTCACGGCGTCACCCGAAATTGGCCACTCGTGGCCTGAAGCTGCTCCCTGACGGCCCTCCCCTCCCCCAAATCCAGGCCTCGGTACCCCCCCAAATCGTACCCCGTGCCCATTTTAGGGGGGGAAACCCCACGGTAAAAAAAGGTTAAAAAAAGGCGCTGCCAACCTGGGGTAAATGAGGCCCGGTCGGGGGGGACTCAACTCCCCTCTGACTCCCCCACTCCTCCCCCCAAGGGAACCCCTCGTGTTCCCCCCACCGCCCCCGATCGCGCTCACCCGTCGCGCCTTCGCCACGTGACTGGGGCGGGGCCAATACGCCCCCTCAGCCCCCATTGGGTGGGACCAAGTCGCCCCCTCCGCCTATTGGGCGGTCGGGAGGGTCGGCCCAGTCCCCGGCGAGGGGCGTGATGGGACTTGTAGTCCGGAAGCGGCAGTGTGTGTGCGGCCATGGCTGGGAGCGTACGTGTGTATCCTCGTGTGCGGGGTGAACACACGTGTCCGGGCGTGTTTACACATGCACATAGCTGCCAACATGTGTAGGAGTACAGGTGAGTGGTACATGTGTGTCCTCATATGCAGGGTGAACACACGTACCCAGGTACATAGAAGTGCCAACATGTGTGTGTGTATGAGCACGGGTGAGCACAGTTGAGTGCAAGTGGGTGTGTGTGCAGGTGGGTACATAACGTGTGTTCCCATGTGCGGATGAGCACATACACATGTGCCAGGGTGAACACGTGCCCAGGTGTGTTTACATGAGCACACAAGTGCCAACATGCATGTGAGCACAGGTGAATACAGGTGTGTGCAGGTGAGCACATACATGTGGACACCCTCATGTGCAGGTGAGCTACAAGTGAGACACACGTGGGGGGCCACACCTCTGTGTGGAGGTGATGTGTGGATGCTGGTGGACACCGCTGTGTGTGTGTGTGTGTGTGTGTGTGTGTGTGCAGGTACAGGTGAAGCCTACATATGTTCACACATGTCCCCCCTCTCGTGCCCCCCGTGATTCCGGTAGTTCCCGGCCTGTGTCTGTGGCACCACAGACACGATTTTCCCCTGCTCTGGCCACGCAGGAACCGCCGGCGGGGACGTTGGGGGTTTGGGGGCGAAAAACGGCCGATTTGGGGATGAACATCTCCTGCCGGCGGGAACCATCTATGATCTACCTGAAGGGGGAGTTTGGGGAGTTGGAGGTGGCTCTAATTACTCATTAATGTGATTAAAATGACAATTAACGGCGGTTCGGCGGCACTTTTGCGACGGCCAAACTCATCCCAAATCCCGCCGCACTCCGAACCCCTGTGACCTCCGGAGCGTTTTGGGGCCTCCCTCTCCTTCCCGAAATCCCCCCATTAAGCCGAACTTGTGCTGTCCAGGCCCGAATTCCCTGTTGGAGCACGGGGCTGAGCCGGGAATAGCGCGGGAGCGGAGCCAAGTCGTGACGGCGGGTGAGTAATGAGGTAAAGTCATCCCTTCCCATCCCGCTGGCACCGGGAGAAGAACCCCCCTGACATCACCCGGCGCGGTGGGAGAGGCTGGAAAAAAATGGAAAAGGGTCTATGGGGCAGGTGGGGGCGACCCCAGATGGGGGGCGGCACAGGTTGGGGTGTCCCCACAGGGTTGGGGCGCACCCCACTTCTATGGGGTTTGGGATTTTGGGATTCCCAGCCGAGTTTGCGGGTCCCCGCCGGGATGGGGAGAAGCGGAGCGGGGTGACACGTGGCTCGTGGCGGATGCCGGGACCCCCCCACCCCCTACGGGACCCCCGTACTCACGGAGGGCTCAGGCCGAGCGGCTCATGGAGCGGTGGGAGCCGATATTGGGAGCGGGACGAAGCGCGGGGATGAGTCAGCCCCGCTCGGGGAAGTGGCGTGTGCGAGGCTGAGGCGGCTCCGCGCGGGCCATTGACTCTTTCCTTACCGGAACGGACGCGCTTTTGGGGGTTCTCATCCCGCGCCACCCCCAGAATGACTAGGCAGGACTTTCCAGCCCCAAGCTCCCCCTCGGAGCCAGCCGGGGTTTGGTGAAGCGGCTGCGTCGCGGTCACTGGACGTGGACGTGGCCAGTCTGGTCCCCTTCCTAGGGGGAGGTCTCAGCACCGCGCAGGGGGTGGGTGACACCTCCAGGTATGTCGTCCCTTGTCCCCTCGTTGGGAATCCGAGCTGGGGCTGCTGGAGGGCACCCAGGGATGCTCAGCCCCATTGCAGCCCCCCGAGAATCCCTCTCCCCTTTCGGCTTGTGAAAATGTCCCGAAAAATGAGAGAAAAAAATCCCCCAGTGACTCATTTTGGGCCAAAAAGCAGAGAAAGCAGAAGCTGGGGGAAATTGGGGGAGGGATAGTATTTGGCTCCTGTGCTCTTCTTTGGAGTCAGGGAGGGGATGAAGGATCCGAGGTGACATTAAACCCTCACAATCTAGGAAGGCTACCGCCCTCTCCGTAAAAATACCAGAATTTAACAAAAATGTGTAAAATAAGCATCAAAAGAAACCCCACTCAGGTTTTTATTCCCAGCTCTGGTTTTTATTTGGGCAGAATGGGAGGGGGTGTGTCCAGAGATGTGGGGAGGGGGATTTGAGAGGTGTCCCTGCCTCAGTTTCCCCATGATCAGGACCCAGCCTGCAGGGACTGTCTCTCAGCTCTGGGATGGATTAGATTTTGGCAATACATTGGATTTCAGGAATACGCTGGATTTTGGGAATACATTGGATTTCAGGATTACACTGGATTTCAGGAATACATCATATTTCAGGGTCCCAAGGGGAGCCAAGCACCTCTCAGTGGGATCTAGCCCCCTCAGGGCTCCGCTCCAACAGGAGCTCCAGGGAAATCTCCCCCAGGGGGATTTTAGGATTTAATCCTAGAAGAGGTGTTGGAGGAAAAGGGGAATTGTTGGGGTTCGAAGGTGTCAGGAGTGAGAGGAGCCATCTGTGCAATGAAAGGTGTTGGGGCTCAGCCAGCAGGAAGGAAACAAAGAGCCAGCTGTTGTCCCTAAAGAGGAGGGAAAGGAGAAGGAGGAAGAGGAAAAAGAGGAGAAGGAAGAAAATTAAAAGGAAAAGGAGATGGAGGAAGAAGAAGGAGATGAAGGGAGAGAAAGTGGAAAAGGAGGAGATGGAGGGAAAGGAAATGGAAAATGATATGGAAAAGGAGAAGGAGAAAAAGGAGGAGGAAAAGTAGAAGGAGGAAAGGGTAACTGAGAAGGAAGAGGTAGAGGAAAAGGAAATGGAAAAGGAGAAGGGGAGAATAGCCCAAACCTGCAAGCCGAGCTGCTGGGTCTGTGCTGGATTTGGCAGCTCTGGCAGGACCAGCATCACTTTGGCTGCAGGGAGAGGGTTCCTTATCTGCGGAGATTTGGGGGGGCTTTGGGGCTGGAATGAACCGTCCCCCTGTGGGTTGATGCCCTTGGTGCTAGCAGGGAACTGCAGCTCCAGCTTCAGCCTGGCACGTGGAACTGGGAATACGGAACTGTAAAATGTTTCCCTGGATTTAATTATCCCATGATTAACTGACGTAATCACTGGGAAAACTCCCCTGGGAGAGTCCTTTCAAGCTGAGCCCTGCTGGAGCAGCTTTTGGGTGCTGGGGAGGCTTTGGGTGCCCCCATGGAGGAGGCCCATGGGGGCTGGAGCTGCCACCCTGACCCTCTGCCAAGGCGGTGACACAACCCACTCCCAGCCTGACTGTGAGTGTCTTTCCATGGAGAGTTAGTTACTGGGGCACTAAATAGGCTTGATGAGCCTCTCTGGGGCATCCCAGCACCCACAGAACCTGTTAAAGCTCATCCATGGAGCTGCTGATCCCAGCCTTGGATGTGCATGGATGCACAAATCCATGGGGATGTGCATTCATACGAACACCTTAAAGGACCTCAGAGGGACCCCTAAATACCCACCCTGGGGTGCCAGCAGTGCAGGCAGCACCTTTACGTGAGCAGAATTCCTTCCATCCTGAAAATGCTAAGGATTGGGATGTGACACAGATGGAGTGAAGCATCTCCATCTTGGTATCCCCATCTCATGGCACATCCTGCGCAGCCCCGCTCAGCCCCTTCCTGCCCGCAGGACAAAGAGCTGCAGGGGCTGCCGAGGCTCTGGAGCTCGTGGAGGAGCTCCAGCCCCATTCCCCCGCCCCTCTGCGTGGAGGTGCCCCACAGCTTTTCTGTGGGGCAGATTTTTGGCTCCCCGGAGAAGCCACCGAGGGGGGTCCAGCACTTCTGCAGGGATGTGGACCCTGAGCAGACCTGGCTGGTGCTGGGAGAGCTGGGAAAGTGCGCCTTCAGAAAGGTCTTTAAGGTAAGAACCCCCAAAATGCCACCCCAAGGGGGTTGAAATGGAATAACATCCCTGTTTGTGGCTGTTTTCCTTAAAAATTCCCATCCTGTGCCCCTCCCCCCCACTACTGCCCCCCAGGCGAGAAGGATCTAATCCTGACCTGCAGACTCAGACCCCAGCCTGACCTGCAGACCTGGACTCAAACACGACCTCCAGACCAACTTCCCAGCTTGATCCTGGACCTGCCTCAGCACCAGAAACATCCCTGATCTCAGCTCTTGGTTGACCCTGGTCACGATCTCCAGGCTGGTCCAGCTCCCATTGTTTGGCTACTGGAGGAGGGGTCAAGGCTGGTGATCCAACCCTGTGATCCCAATGACTCCTGGACTGCATTTTTTAGGAAGCTGCCCCAACCTTTCTGCCCCCAACCCTCCTGCGTTATTTTAACCTCTTCTGGTATGGAGACTCCTTCAAAGGGCCATCTGCACAGTCTGGAGCAATTTATTACCTTTAAACACAGTGTAAAAGGTAAATCCTTTCCTGGGGTGAACAGGACTGTGGGAGGAACTGGAAACAGCAGTAACAGTCAGTCAAAAAACTGAGAATTACGGACAGGGAAGGACACACAGAGGAACCTTTCGAGACAGACAGAGGAACCTTTTGAGACACACACAGAAAAGCCTGTTGCTATAGGCACTCGTGGTTCACAGTGAGATGAACTCCACTACCCATTTCCAGGAAAAGCTGAAGGATCAGTGGTGGCGGGAGCCAGGAAGGCTGAGCCATGACCATCCATGCAGGTCAGGTGGTCAGGTGGGACATTCCTGACTTAAAAGTGTTCCTGAGGTGCAGAGACCAGGGAGATTTCTCAGCTGGCAGGAGAAATATCTGCCACTGATGAGAGTCCAGAGCTGGGACACTGAGCTCTGGCCTGAGGTCATTCCAAGGGCTGCTCCATATGTGGCTTAGTGTCTGGTGTCACCAGGACATCGGACAGGTCCTCTGTTCCCTCCAGATTCAGATTCTGGGAATACAAAGGGAAAGCTGAGTTTGACAAAGCCAGACTGTTCCCCTTGGAATTTGAAGGCATAAAAATCCCACAGGATGAAGGTTCAGAACAACTCCAGCCCCTCCTCAGCATGGCCAGGGTTGTTGCTCTTTGGGGTTGGACTCTTCTCCAGGGAACAAGGGACGGGAGGACAAGGCCTCAAGCTGTGCGAGGGGAGGTTCAGGTTGAAATTTTTCCATGGAACAGGTTGTCAGGCATTGGAAGGGGCTGCCCAGGGAGATGGTGGAGTCCCCATCCCTGGAGGTGTCCAAGGAACACCTCACTTGGTGGTGGCACTCAGTGCTCTGGGCTGGTTAGGATGATAGAGATCAGTCCAAGACTGGACTCTGTGATCTTCGAGGTCTTTTCCAACATCAGCAATTCTGGGATTCTATTCCATGACTGGGAATCTGAAACACTCCAACACTTGGAACAACTCTGAGGAGCAAAGTGCTGCCAGACCCAAGGACAGGGAAGGACTGAGAGCAACCAGTTGGGAATGCTGGTGTTCCCAGCCTATCAGTGTCCACTGTGGGCATGGGAAAAGTCCAGAAATCCTGATTCAGGAAGTGGACCTGCCCCAGGTGTGCACTCACCTTCTCACTTGCCAAGTGCAGGAGGCACACGAAGGCTGAGGGCACGGACAGGTTGGTTGCCATGTCAGCAGGAAGCCTATGGAAGGGAGACCAGGATTAGGATAGACAGAGCCCAGAGATCAGCTCCTCCCCATGGAACTGCTTTTGTCCACTTTCCTCTTCCGCTGCTGAGCTGGATGAACCCACAGCTCCCCCAGGAAAACCCGGAGCAAGGGAAGGGCTGTGACAGACACAGAGGGGGCAGTTCTTGCCCAAACTTAACTAAAATCTGTCCTGCCTTCAGTCCAACCTGGTTTAGAGTCTCTACCTGTGCCGCAGGTCCTTCATGATGTCGCTCAGCTTCTTCTCTCCTGCCACCACTGACGTGTCCTCCTCTTTCTCAGCATCTTCCACCTACTCACCAAAAATCAGACAAACTTTGCTCCCCAAAATCCAGAGGAAATCCCCTGCAAGTCACACTTGGTCTGTCTTTACTGTCATTCCATGGGAACAAGAAAGGGATTGCTGATAAACCTGCACAATTCCCTTAGGACATTCCCTTCCTGAGGAATCCAGCTCCTCCTGCACTCACCTCTCCCACTGCCCCTTTCTTCTGCCCATCAGTCAACAGCTGCCACATGGTTTTCTTCAGCCTCCTCATGTCCATTTTCTCTGCATTCTTTGCATATTGAATTGCAATTTTATTGATCTGAGGGAAGGACAGGCAGGGTCAGTGGAGATCATTGGGATCACAGGGATAACCAAGGCATGGTTTCCTTGGGAATGGCCTTGGGTGTTTAATTCCCTCCTCTTACATGAGGGATCAGCTGGGAATAAAGTATCCAGCAGCAAACCCAGGAGATCCTGCACCAGGGAAAGTTGTCTCAAAACCTCTAACGCGAGACAACTTGCAAGAAACGTTTAATTAAAAAAATACTTAATTTTTAAGAAACCTTCAATTTTAATAAAACTTTGACACAGTCACAGAATCAACTAGATTCTAGTTCTATCTTTTAAGAAACTTCTTATTTTAACTTTTAATTTTTTAATTTAAACAACTTCTAATTTGTAGAGATCCAATAATTTCTGAGTGTTGGGAGCAGCCCCCATTGCCCTCCCAGTGCTCACCTTCTGGGGCTCAGCGATGAGGTTCAGCTCCCCGTACGTGGTGACATCCTCCCTGTTGAGGACCCTGCTGAGCTGCAGCCCCTGGGGATTGAACTCCCCTGTCTGAGCCAGGAACGCAGAAGGGTCACTGTCATCATCACTGTCTGAGACCTGGACAGGAGACATAGCAGTGACACCACACAGAGACATCCTGAGGAGCCTCTCCAGGGTGGCAATTCCTGCCCACAGTCCCCATAGAACAGGATCTTATTCAGCCTCTCTAAGGGTGAATCTAGGGAGAAGAATATCAAAAACCTGTCCTACGTTCTGGGAGTGTCCAAGGCCAGGTTGGACAGGGCTTGGAGCAACCTGGGATAGTGGAAGGTGTCCCTGCCCCTGGCATGTGGTGGCACTGGATGAGCTTTAAGGTCCCTTCCAACCCAAACCATTCCACGTTCTTGCCTATCTCTGGCAGCTCCAGCTTCATCCCATCAGCAGCGCTGGGGGTCTCAGACCCTCAACAGCACCACCCCAGAGGCATCTCAAATAATTGGGTTTAAACTGTTGGTTTAATGGACTTAAACTGACATGGAGTGGGTTGAGATGGGATATTGGAAAGGGATTCTTCCCTGGGAGGGGTTGGGATGGAATTCCCAGAGCAGCTGTGGCTGCCCATCCCTGGCAGTGTCCAAGGCCAGGTTGGAGCAACTGGTGTAGAGGAAGGTACCCCTGCCCATGGCAGGGGGTGGAACTGGATGGGCTTTAGGGTCTCTTCCCACCCAAACCATTTTCGGATTCCATAATACATGGAGAAAAAAGGAAGATGAGGGCTCTGCTGCCAGAGTGGGACCAGCCAGGACATATGACAACCACCACCTGGCAGAAAGCTGAAGCTTTAAGAGAAATCACCTTCTAATGGACCTTGGAAGGGCTGGGAGGAAAACTCCCTGTGCAGAGCTCAGTGCAGAGGTGAGACATGAAATTTATTCCCACTTCAGGGCCTGGAAAAGCCTGGAATGGGGTTTCTGCAGCAGGTGCAAACACTGAAGGCAGAGTTCAGGTGATGTCATTGAAGGGACAGGATAGGCACCGAGACCCTGCAGCTCCACCTAATTTTCACTAGTAATTAATTCTGGACATGGATTAACCCTAAATCATTCCTATCATGTATCAAACAGAAAAAAAAGATCTTCTTGCTCCTTACCTGCAGGGCAGGGCAGAAGTTGGAGGTGTCATTGGGGTTGTTGTAGTCATAGTCCCCAATCTCAGCTTCGTTCTCCAATGTGGTGACTGGCTCTGACGTCCTGTTGAGCTCCAGGGACAGACCAGGGAAGGAAAAATACTAAATATTTCCCCAAGCAATGCCTGTGTCATGTTCTTTCATCCCCTTCTAGCTCTTTCTCCTCCTCACACACCTCCAGCAACCCCCTACAACAGCCTTGGCATCCACAGTGGGTCAGCTCCGTGACACACATTGGCCTGTCCCCAACCCTGAGGAGCATTCCAAAAGACTCCTAGGATTTCAAGAATTTTGGAGGTTTTGAGACTGGAATTATTGCTGAGAGGATTTTAGAGAAGGCTCTTACCTTAACAAGTGGTTTGAGGAACAGCTGGGGGAAGTTCTCAGGGTTATAGTTGAAGTCTTCAGGGAGTGTGGTGCTCCTCACATTCTCTTTTTCCAGGATGGATTTGGCCAGAGTTACAGATGCCTGGGAAAGGGGTGGAAAATACCATCAGCCAGGAGCTTTTCACACACAAATAAGTGCTTTGAATACAGGTCTTTGTCTAAAAGGGGGCAAGGTCTGGGATGCCTCCAAGGAGGAATTCCACAATGGGTTCAGCTGATGCGTCCAGCAGCTTCCATTCCGCACCCTGGACACCTAGGTGGACCTGAGAGGGTGTAAACCAGGAAGAATCCAGCAAAATGGAGAGCAGGAAGAGGCAGGAACTCAGCAGGTACCTTGGTCTTATGGAAATAGGCCTCAAAGTCAACATTCTCATCAAAGTTCAGCTCAAACACTTCCTTCACATTCCTTTTCCTGGTCTCCTTTTCAGAGTTGGCATTGGCTGCAGAAAGGAAGGGAAGTGTCAGTGCTTGGTGAAAGAGCCAGGACAAGCAGCTCACTCTCAACCTGAACATCTGCTCCACACACATACACCTACAAGGATGGATTCACAAAACACCCTTTGTTTTGTGAAAGCAATGTGTTGTTATCAGCTTCATGTTTTACAGGGATCACCATCTTTTTATGGAAGCAGAAAGTCTAATTTAGTTTCAATGGCCTTAAGCGGAAGGAGGGTGGGTTTAGATGGGATATGGGGAGGGAATTCCTCCCTGTGAGGAGCTGGGATGGAATTCCTAGAGAAGCTGTGGCTGCCCCATCTCTGGAAGTGTCCAAAGCCAGGTTGGATGGGGTTTGGAGCAACCTAGTCTGGTGGAAGGTGTCCCTGCCCATGGAACTGGATAGGCTTTGAGCTCCCTTCCCACCCAACTTATTCCATGATTCCCTGATCTCCGGGGTGAACAGGACCTGGCAGCAGCTGCTGTCCCCAAATACCTACATGTGTGGCAGGGTTTGAAGCGCCAGTGCTGGGGGCCAGCCCACATGGACAGAGTGCGGGGACTGAAGTAGGAATATTCCCCTGGATTCACAGAGAGCTGATGGCACATGGTCTCAATGTCTCCCTCTCCAAAACGAGTTCCATCAGTCCTGGAAAGAGCACATGTGCACTCAGTGAAACCATTCCTTTGGCACTCCTGAGGGCATTGAATACCCAGGGCAGCTCTGGGCAGGCATTCCCATTCCCTGTGCCAGCAGGGCAGGACTCCTGGTCTTTAAACAGAGCTGCAGGTGTTGCAATGTCTTAAATCTGTGAGGCTGCTGCAAAAAAGAGTTAGATTTGCCAAAGATCCCTTTGGAAGGCAGAGTTATTCCTGTAAGGTAAATTCCTGAATTTACCCAGAACTGGAGGAGGAAGCAGGGAACAAAGATTCCCCAGAGAGCTGACAAAAGTTGTGAGTTGCCATCAAAGCAAAGCTATGGATTTTCAGTGAGCACTCACCTCTTGCTCTGGTTCTGGCTGATTGTTCCAGAGGAGCTGATGTTATCTGTGAATTCCCCAAGCTTCGTTGCTGCTCTGCTCCCAGGGAAATCCGAGTGGAAGTCATCCTCTGGCAGGGGGGGAGCACCGCCCTCCCCATCACTCTCCACCTCTGCGTAGGGGTCAAACACATGCTCACTCTTCTTAAATTTATCCAGCAGGGCCAACACTGACTGAGAGAAGAAGGAACTCAGGGAGCTATTTGAAGCTGAGGTAGCTTCAGCTTAACGGCCTTGAGCTGAAGGAGGGTGGATTTAGACAGAATATTGCAAAGGGATTCTTCCCTGGGAAAGTGATGAGGAGCAGGGATAGAATTCCCAGAGAAGCTGTGGCTGCCCCATCCCTGGAAGCGTCCAAGGCCAGGTTGGACAGGGATGGAGCAACCTAGGCGAGTGAAAGTTGTCCCTGCCCATGGCAGGGGTTGGGACTGGATGGGCTTTAAGGTCCCTTCCAACTCAAATCAGTCTGGGATTCAATGATTCCATGAAAAAGCAGGATATCAGCAGCCCTGCAGCACAACCTCCCCCTGTGTATCTCAGAGCTGAGAACTCAGGTATCCCACCTGGCCCAGTTATCCCACCCAGCACAGAGCCATCCAACCTACCTCCTCGTGGGACTCCTCATCCCACTTTGTGAACTGGAAACCAGCCAGGGAAGAGCAGATGAGACGTTTCTCAACACACTTAGCCAGCAGGGCTGGAGACAGGGAGGGTAAGGGGGAGGGATTAGACTCAGGATCCAAAATCAGCAGCTAAAACTAGTGCCAGGCATGATTTCTTAATTAATTAATCTTAAAGTCACATATGTGGGCAGCTCTTTGTCTATGCAGAGCTCATTTATAAGGGAAATTTCAGTTCCCACCCTAACTCCAGGGTGGGCATAACTCTGGGAATCTTGTCAGAGCAGCAGGGGCTGGTCCTATATCCAGGCTCAACACACTCTGAAAAGGTCAGTCCTTAACCTGGAGCACTAATTCCAAGTCCTGCAAAACTCAGACCAACATCTGCTGTGCCAGATGTGCCAGAGGCTGGGTGACAGGTCAAGATCTAAAACCTACAAAGGTCCTGGTTTTCCAGCAGCTGCTCCCAACTGGGCCAGGATCAGAGCACTGGTGTGCCAGGACAGCCAAGCAGTGACTAAAGCACAGCTCATGGCCCCTGAGACTAAAATGAGCTCACCTGGGAGATAAAAGGCATGAGAAGGTCTGGATGGGCCCAACACTCACACTTTAAATCCATCATTTCCACGGGATCTGAGTTTGGCAGTGAGAGAGTCTCCGAGGAAGGGAGAGGGACAATTCTGGACTCAAACTGGAGCTCGCAGTGGAAGTCCTGGGAGTGCAGACGGGTGAGGAAAATCCCAGCAGTGCTGCGCTCATCAAAGGACCCTGCTTCTTTCTGGAACATGGGATCCACCTGCAGGTATGGAGGGAAGCAGAGAATGGCCCCAAACATCTCCTCCCCATCCCTGGAATTGTCCAAGGTCAGGTAGGACAGGGTTTGGAGCAACCTGGGATAGTGAAAGGTGTCCCTACCCATGGCAGGGGGTGGAATTGGTTGATCTTTAAGATCCCTTCCCACCCAAACCATCCCATAATTCATGATCTTTTTCAGTAAGGAAAGAGCCCTCCCAGCTCCCTTTCAGACCTGACTGGACACAACTCTGCTGTACCAGCACAATCCAGACATGTACATGACTGTCAGAGCCCAAGAGAGGAATGAACAAGAAGGAAAACAGAGATGAGGAAGATGAGGTGACACTCTTGTTCCTCTTCCATGCAGCTGCTCTAGCAGCCTCCCCCAAAAACTCACCCGATGCCTGTGATTGGCCTCTGATACATTGATGTTGCTCAAGTTCTGCTCAATGGTTTTGAATGCCTGTTTTTTCTTTGGCTGAACTTTCTTGATGGCCTCAGGAGCTGAACTGTCTTCTGAAAGAAGAACAAATGACACTTAAAAAACATGCTAAAATACCCCAAGGAGGGATAGAACAACTTTGAGTTCAATTTGTAAAACAAACACACAATAAAGTTGCTCAGTCAGGGATTTATTAGCATGAATCACCAATGTTTCACTGCCTAGATGCTGCTTTGCTTTTTATTGACTCTACTGGATCACAAATCACCTCTATTTGGCCACAGATTGACTTTATTTGGCACATTTATTTCAAAGCAAAGGACAGCAAAGCGTGAGGCCCTTCATTGTTACTGGTTCATATCAGATCAACTGTGGTTCGTGTCCAAATCTAAATCCATGGACTAAATCACTGAATTCAGGACTGAGCAACAGATTCAGATTTTCATCCCAACCCTCCCTAAACAAACACCCAGGAAAACCAATTTGGGACCTCCCAGACCTTGAAAATTTAATTCCAAAGCACTTCAAAATTCCCTGAGCTCTGAGGTTCCTTTTGTTCCCAGGTGGAAAAAGAGCAGTTTAACAGGAAAATGAGGGAATTGCCCACCTTCCCCTGGGCTGTCCAGGCCCTTGGCAGGTGCTGAGTCCTTGCCTAAGCCCCCAAGGACTTTGTAGGTGTCTGCATGGACTGTGTCCACACGCACAGAGTAGATCTTGGCACAGGCATCCAACGTTCCAGCTGCAACCTGACAGCAGGGATAGGGAATTCTCAGTTGGAAAGGGAAAAGTCTCATCTAGAAGATACAAGGCTGAGCTCCTGAATGCTCTGCATCACAAGAAAAACTGTGAACAGCTGGAAAAGGATTTATTCTAAAAGCTAATGGTCCCCCAGCAGGAGCCAGGGTGTGTTTTCCCCATAGTTTGCTCCACCTTTTGGGATCACACAGAAAAATGCTTAAAAAGTTGCCAAGATTAAGCAACAGGGAGAATCAAAGCTCTCTCCTCCACTTCCCCTTCATGCCTTCTTTGGGGTCACCCCATTGGTATCATTCTATTTTTTCAGATTATGAACTCCAGAGATGAAGAAACAGGAGATGCCAAGTTCCTTTTTTGATCACAGATTCCCCTCTGGAAGGTGGAAAATCCCCCAGTAAAATCATGTCCCCCCTTTCCCACCCTTTCCTCATCCCATCAACCGCAACCAGCTCATTCAGGGGTTCCTTGAGGCCACATCAAAAGTTCAGCCATTCATTCCCTCATCCAAGAATCCAGTTTTCCCTCACAGCATTAGTCAACTATTAAAATTTGTCTTTTCCTTGGCAAGTTCTTATTCTGAACCATTCCTGGATCAAAATCAGACTTCCTTTCTTTTCCAGCCTTGTTTTTTTCCTGGTTTTAACACTCATTATTAACGAATCTTACTTTTAAGCAAGATTTCCTTTAGAAGGACCATAACTGAGAAAATTTAGACATTAATTTCTGTGGTACAAAAGGATTATTCACAGCCTTAAACTCCTGCAACAAGTGAATGTGCTGCCTCTCCCAGGTATTTTTGGTGGCAGTAACAGGCTCAGCTATCTGAACATTATTTGAGGGTTGATATTAACTGGGTTAAATCCAGATGGAAATAAACTCCTCTCACCTTGAAGCTGGGGAACTCAGAGTTCTGTGTCAGGATCTTGGGCATGTAGTCAATGAGATGTAAATCAAAGGCGTTTCTCGGGGTGATTTTCTGGAACAAAGCACACCTTGGGACCAATTCTCAGGCCAAGGACACCCCTAACCCTGCCTGGACCCCCAGCTCAGGAGGGGGATTTAGGGCAGGGCCAAGGGGATATGGTCTGTAAGGTGTGTTAGTGATGAGAGGGCACCAAGAAGGCCATGGTTGGCCCAGGGAAGAGGAATAGGAATAGAGTGGAGAGACAGGCAGAGAAGAACCTTCTGAAAGTCAACAGGGCAAATGCAGGTCCTGTGCCCGGGGAGGAACAACTCCAGGCACCAAAAGGGGCCGGGGGCACCCTGAGGGTCCTGGTGGACAACCAGCGGTCCCTGACCAGCAGTGAGCCCTGGGAGGCCATTGGGATCCTGGGATGCATCAGGAAAGGCATTGCCAGAGGGTCAGGGGAGGGATCCTGCCCCTCTGCTCAGCCCTGTGAGGCCCAGCTGGAGTGCTGTATCCAGCTATGGGTTCCTCAGGACAGAAGGGACATGGAGCTCCTGGAACCACAGAGATGATGAGGGGACTGGAGCTTCTCTGTGACCAGGAAAGGCTGAGGGAGCTGGGGCTGTTCAGCCTCTAGAGGAGACACCGAGAGGGGACCTCCCCAGTGTCTGCCAGTGTCTGTAGGGAGGGAGCAGAGGATGGACCAGGCTCTGCTCGGAGGCACTCAGCAATGGCGCAAGAGGAATGGGCAGGAACATGAGGAAGAACTTCTTTGCTGTGCAGTGACGAAGCACTGATTCGTAGACCCACAGAACCAAAGAATATCCTGAGCTGGGAGGGACCCTCAAGGATCATCAGGTCCCACTCCTGGCCCTGCACAGACACATCAACAATCCCACCATGTTGTCCAAACACTCCCTGAGCTCTGGCAGCCCGGGGGCTGTGACCAAACCCTGGGGAGCCTGTTCCAGAGCTCCACTGACCAGAGAGGGTGTGGAGTCTCCCTCACTGGGGATATTGCAGAACCACCTGGACACAACCCTGTTCCATATGCTCTGGGATGGCCCTACTGGAGCAGGGAAGTGGAACCAGTGCCCCACTGTTGTCCCTTCAACCTGACCCACCCATACTGTGATCCTGTGACTTGTGTCTTTCTAGGATGAACAGTTAATAAGGCACTGTAATTTGAGGTATTCCAGAACCATGTGGATGCAATCCTGTTCTTTGTGGATGATCCTGCTTGAGCAGGAAGGCTGGACCCACTGTGGTCCCTTCCAACCTTAGACATTCCATATTTTTGTGGTTCTGTGACTTGTGTCTTTCTAGGACAAACTGTTAATATGTCACTGCAATTTGAGATATTCCAGAACCACCCGGACACAACTCTGTTCCATGTGCTCTGGGAAGGCCCTGCTAGAGCAGCAAGGTTGGACCCACTGACCCATCCTGTGATTTTGTGAATAACTATGCAAGGCTCAAGGCTTTTAAATCCCCCTCCAACCTCACAGCCAGGGCGTTTTAACCTCCAGGGTGAGTATTTAAGGACCGGTTCCGATGCCCTGGGACTCACGTTTTCCGTGGAGAGGCGGATGCAGGTGTTGTAGTGCTCTGAGATCTGCGCGTTGCTCCACTGCGGAAGCTGCCAGCCCTCCTGCCTGCAGGACACACAGAGGGGTCACGGGGCTCAGAATCACAGAATCACTGAGGTTGGAAAAAGTCTCTGAGATCTTCAAGTCCAACCTGTGACCCAATACCACCTTGTCACCCAGACCATGGCACCGAGTGCCACATCCAATCTCCTCATAAACACCTCCAGGGACGGCGACTCCACCACCTCCCTGGGCAGCCCATTCCAATGTCTGATCACTCTCTCTATGAAGAATTTCTTCCTAATGTCCAACCTAAACCTGCCCTGGCGCAGCTTGAGACTATGCCCTTGGTCCTGGAAGAAGAGCCAGCCCCCCTCGCTGATCCACCCTCCCGTCAGGCAGCACCAGCCGTACCTGGGCGCGGGGGAGCCGAGATCCAGCGAGGAGTCGGCGGCCCTGGAGCGCCGGCGCTGCCGCCTCTCGCGCTCGTCGTCGTTGCCGGGGCACTCGGCCAGCACGGGGGTGCCGGCGTTGCCCAGGGCCCGTGGGGCCGGTGAGGCTGCGGCGGCGCCGCGCAGAGTGCGGGCGCTCATCGCTCTCAGAGCGGGGTCGGAGCGGGTCCGAATCGGGGATCGAACCAAGGATCGGAGCCGGGTCCCAGCGGGAGCGAACCGCGACCACCGGGATCAAACGCGGCGCCGGCCCCGCCCACCGCCGTGGCCACGGCCACCCCACCGCGCGGGCGCCTGACAGGGGCCAATCCGCGCGCGGCCCGCCCCGCCCCGCCGGCCAATCAGCGCGTGGTCCGCCCCGCGCTTTGAACGGCGGCGCGCGCCGCGCGTGCGATAACGGTCGGGGATGGGGAAGCTGGGGGGGAAGAATGCGCTCTGAGGGACCCCTTGGGTGGGCCCTCCAGGTAGGATCACTCTGATTTCCTGGTCCTGGGTTGGGGTATGAGGGGTGTCACTCAACGGCGGTGGTGCCCCGGCACCGCCCGCCCCGGCAAAAGGCCGCCTAGGAGGAGGAGGAGGAGAAAGACCTGCTCCACTTATCACAGAATCCCGAATTTCTGAGGTTGGAAAAGAGCCCTGGGATCATCGAGTCCAATCTGTGACCGATTCCCACCTTGTCACCCAGACCAGAGCACTGAGTGCCACCTCCAGTTGTCCCCTGGACACCTCCAGGGATGGGGACTCTACCACCCTCCTGGGCAGCCCCTTCCAATGCCTGGCTACCCTTTCCAGGAAGAAATTCCTCCTGATGTCCATCCCATGAAGCCATCTCGTGCATTCACGGGAGGCTGAGACACTGGTGCAGGTTGCCAGAGAAGCTGTGGCTGCCTCTGCACCCCTGGCAGCATCCAAGGCCAGGCTGGACAGGGCTTGCAGCAGCCTGGGGTAGAGGAAGGTGTCCCTGCCCATGGCAGGGGGTGGGACTGGATGGGCTCCCAAGATCCCTTCCAACGCAAACCATTCCGTGATTCCATGACTCTGGGGAGCCCCATGGCACCAGAATACAGCAGGACATAGCTCCCAACTCACTCTGGCACTCAGGGGAATAATTTGGGAGGGAAATGCCACATAGAGGGGCCTCAGCAGTGACAAGGACAATGGTGACATCACACTCACCCCCAATGTTTATTCCAAGACACCAGTTCCAGCTCTAGGGAGAGGCCACAAAATTCCATCCTGATCAGGCAAAAATGAAGCAACACACCAGGAAAACTCTCCTTCCACACCACAATTCCCCCCTGGGCACTTGGAAATCAGCTCCCGCTGCCCCCAGTCACTTGAAAAACCATCAGCCGCGGGTGTCCTCCCCTGGCCCAGGTACTACTGAGACCCCCACGGGGATCTGTCCTGGGTGGGAATGTCCTGGAAAACCATGGGGCTGGGCTTGGATCCCCTGGGTCCTGGCGAGGAGGGGGCTGCCATCTTCATATTCCCAGAACCAGAGTCCACATTGATTCGGCATTTCCCTCTCCTGGGTCTCTCTGGAGACAATTGGGTGTCCAGGGGTGAGGGACCCTCCAGAGAAATCCCTGACTGAAACAGTCACTGAGGTAGGAACAACCCCAACTCCCTGCAGGCAGCAGGAGCTCTGGCTCAGGAATCACCTCCAGAGGCTTAGGAATCAATTCTGGAACCTTGAGAATCCCCCCCGGCAGGTTCCAGGATGCAGCAAGTCCCAGAGCCAGGATACGACATGCAGGACGCAGTGGGAATGGGGCAGGAGATGTGGGGAGGAAGTTGCAGCCACGCAGCTTCCCAACTCATCCCGCTGGGAAAACTGCTGGAGAACCACCAGCATCCAGCTCCAAACACCAAAACTCAGCACCCAGAGGGGCAAGTGGGGGGTTCAAGCAAGGCAAAGCAGGCTGGTCTCCACGTGGGAAGCAGCCAGAGTGGGATGAAGAACTTGGAAAGTCTCTCCTGGCGCTAACATGGCTCGGGATTAGGGGCTCCAGCAGGAATCCAGTGAGGACTGGCGTGCTCCCATGGCTCCTGGAGTGTCACAGCCCCTGTGCTGGGGCTCCCTGAACCCCCCCTTCTGGAGCCATTCCCAGCAAAGTCCCCTCAGGACTCAGCTCTCCCTCCATGACACATCCACTCCCACTGGGATCCATGCAGCAGCTCTGGAGCCTTCAGGGAACCGTGGCTGCTCCCGCTGGGATTTTGGGGTCCCCACCACTAGGGTCTGTCCATCAGGCCAGTCTGGGAGGGGTGGGAGTCGTGATGTGGCTGGCAAAGCCCAGGAATAGGCCATCCTGGGGGTTTCCCAGGTCAATAGAAATGTTTCCGGCTCTGCTCCTGCCACTTGTTGTAGACAATGATGCCGATGACGATGGCAAAGACAAGGGCGACCAGCGAGAAGAATACAATGAGGAACAGGGCCAGGCCACTCATGGGCTCCAGAGGTGCTTCCACTGGGAGAGGAGGGAGGGAAAACCCTATGAGACCTCAGAGAACCCCAAAACCATCTCACACCCCTAGGGATTCAGCTCCCCAAAGCTTTTGGGCCCTGAGACCCTGGGGCAATCCAGGAACTCATGGTGCAATTTCAGGATGGGACACGACCCACATCCCTCCCACCCCAGACTGGTGGATGGGCCCTCACGGTGGAGACCCCCAAAATCAAAGTTCCTTTTTCCTCCCCCAAATCCCTCCTTGTCCCACCTTCCCCACAGTGAAGGCAGAGGTTGCCACTCACTTCCAGGCAGTTTCAGGTTGTCCACAACAGGCAGGAACACCTCCCTGTCCCGCTTTTCCTCCTCGGGCGTTCGTTCCACCGTGAGCTGGTACAGCTTCAGTGAGATGATGTCATGGTTGTCTGGAAGGAGAGGGAAAACTGAGGTGCCCTGAGGGGTCACCCATTCCCAAAGCTCTGGCCAGGGGCTGGAATGCCATGGAAAACTCCATGGGATGTTATCCTTGGAGCAAAGGTGATGGTCCTCCCTTCCCAAGGGGACCCACTGCCAGTAGGAAGCTTTGAAGCAACTTAAAAACTAAAAACCAGCCCAAACTGGGAATTAAACCCACTTGGGAATCCAAAGGAATGTGTCAGCAGGTGGGAATGCTTCATTCCTGGGTACCAGGCAGGGATCTCAGAGGGAAAAGGAATTTTGTTGGAGCCAACAATGGGCCCAGGAATGAGCTTTTGTGGGGTAGAAGGCTTAAAACCTCCAGAAGAGGGACAGGGGCTGGGTCAGGCTTGGGGCACCCTGAGGAGGGATTGGTGAGGAAAGCAAAGAGTTTAATGCTCCATAAAACCATTCCCAGGTGGGCGATTGCTGGGAAATCCAAAGGAAAACACTCTCAGGATGGAGCCAGGGAGCAGAGGGAGCAGGCTGGGACACCTGAGGCACCCAGGGCATTGCCAGTGTCAGCAGCTCCTGCTCTTAGGATAACCAAGCACCAGGGCTGGGTTTTATTCCAGGCTTAGTGCTTGGTTTGGCACTAGGAGGAGGTTTTATTCCATCTTCATCCTGGCTTTACTCATTCCAAGGTGAGAGTAGACAGGGATCCACAGGCAGCTCAAGGGCAATGGAAAGTGCTGCCTGGACAAAGCCTTGAGGGCCCCTCAGGGGTCACTGCAAGATCCAAACCAATGCTCCCACTCCTAGCTCGGGGGTCCTCAAAGGGAAAGCTCCCCAAAGCAGGGAAAGGCCCTCAAATGCTTCCATAAGGCCCTGCAGCTCCCCATATCTGCCGTAGCCTTTAGGGAATCCCATCTGGATCCCCCCGGCAGTACCTGACAGGTCCCCGGTGACCGAGGACGTCCCAAAGTAGTACCCTCGGGGCAGGTGCACACCCGGCACGTCGATGCAGTCCCTCCACTCGTGCTTCCCATCGATGTCAATCAATACCTGTGGGACAAACACCTCTCTGAGACCCATGGGGAGCCCTCGGGGTACCCCCCCGGGTGGGTGATGCCTTAAAATCTATATCCTATAAGTTTTGTAGTGTAGTTTGTTGGTGCCTTTGTACAAGAATTTGATTATATACCATATGCAATATATTGAATATTAATGTAGTGATCTAATTAATAAATTAATATAAATTATATTAATATAAATTAAATTTTTATCATGACTGTGTAATAAAAGGAAATGTTACCTTCTAAAACTCACAAGTTGAGTTTTGGGGGGTTTGTTTAAGGGCTGTTTTTAGGCATCATGGGCAGCACTCACCGTGAGCCTCCTCTTGACATAGCGGATGACCAGGAAGGTGTCGTGGGGCAGGTTCCTCACCATGGCCGTGCAGCCCCCCAGCTCTGTGGGGCGTCCGTCCCGGTCGTGGTCATAGGTGAGGGAGCCATTGTTCACCATGGCTGAGATGTAGGGGAACACCCGCTGCCAGGGGGTCAGCGGGTGAGTTTAGTGTCTGACAGGGGAGTCTGGACCCTGGAGCATCTCCAAAGGCAAGAGTCGCAGCAGCCCCCTGGACCTGAACTTGTTCAACCCCAAGGATCTGCTCCACAAGACGTCAGGACTACGCTGCTCCATCCCCGACTCCGAACTCCACCCCAACCATCTGCCTCAACATGATCCCACTCCACCCTGACCCCAAATTCCTTCACTCCCCAAGAATATGCCTCAACAATCACCAGCGTGGTCCTGCTCCATCCCTGACCCCGAACTCCACCCCAACCAAATTCCTTCATCCCAAATAACCTTCTCCACACAACACCATCACAACCCTGCTCCATCCCTAACCCCAAACTCCTCCATCCCAAATAATCTGCTCAACAAGACACCAACATGACCCTGCTCCATCCCTGGCTCCAAACTCCTTCACTCCTAAAAAATCTGCTCCACAAGACACCACCACAACCCCTCCCCACCCCTGAAGCTCAGCCTCAGCTCCCAGAGATCCTGAACAAAGCACACATTCCATGCAGTCCCTCCCTGCTCCCACAGGGATTCCTGGAGCCCTTGGGAAGGAATTCCTTGCCCAGGAACCCTGAGAGGTGGGACAGCAGGAGCCAGTACCTGGTTTCCCGGGCTGTACCTCCTCTTCTGAGCCTGCCCTCCGGAATGAGCGCAAAGCAAGAGAGAGCACAGAGCAACACGGTCACAGGGCAGAGTCCACCAGGGCCCTACATGCCGGGAAACCTCCTCCTGGAGCATCTCCTGCCTTCCCATGACTGGGAGCAGGGAGGGGGGTCAGGGGTCAGTGCCAAATCCCGGGATATATGGCATGGAAGCAGCACCAGAGGGCAAGACCACAGATGGAGTCACTCCTTGAGCCTCCGCAGCCCCACAGGGAATCCCAGCCAAGCTTCCCTCGGGAATAAGATCCTTTTTTTTTTTGTCCTTGCAAAAGTGGGACTGAACAGCTGGGAACCCGCAGAAACAGTTTTTCTTGGTGTTTGACTCCTGCTCCACGTCACTCACATTCCGCTAGTTATTCCCTCTAATTAAGACCTGTTGTGTGCCACTTTATCCCATAAAAGCAGAGCTGCCACCCTGCAAATCCAAGGATACATCCAACACTTCGCTAACCCAGCAGCTTGGAAAGGCTTTTCCCGGCACAAAGTCGATCCCTGTATCAGAGCCAGTGGGTTTGGGGATTGTGGTAAAAATTGGGAGTTACCCAAGGTCACAAAATATCAGTACTGAGTTAGAGTATCACCTGTTTTTTAGGGTGAATTGGAAATGAGAAAAGATCCAACTTTGGGTTTGGAGGGATGGAAGTTTCCAGCAACAGGTTGCCCAGAGAAGCTGTGGCTGACCCTGGACCCCTGGCAGCATCCAAGGCCAGGCTGGATGGGGCTTGCAGCAGCCTGGGGTAGAGGAAGGTGTTCCTGCCCATGGCAGGGGTGGCACTGAATGGGCTTTAAAGTCCCTTACAACCCTAACCATTCCAGAATTCCACGATTCTAAAACAGGGTGGGAAGACCCCGGGTTTATCCACCTCTGCACTCACTTTTCCATGGGAATGGCACCACTAAACCCCCAAAACCACCAGGAACACGAGGCCCTTTAGACCTTTCCAAAAGGCAACTGAGAGCAGGAAAATGCTCCTCAACCCTTACTCGAGGTTTACTCCAGCCCTTACTCTTGGTTCAGCCCCCAAGAGCAGAATTCCCAGCACAAACATGGCTCCATCACTCAGCTCTTCCTGCCCTAAAATCCCTTTTTTCGGGAAAAAGCTTTCCACAAAACCACCCCCAGTTTCTCCCATGTTCCCTCACAAGGAATTAAATCTACCCCTGTAGAAAAGCAGAGGAAGGGGGAAGAGCAGGAGCTGAGTTGAGTATATGATTCCAAAGAAGAGCTGTGTCCATAACCTTGGTGTAACCCATCCCATTCCTCCCTCCCTGCTCACCTCCTGCTGCTTCTCCTCATTTGGATAAGTGTCCACAAACACTCCTAGGCCCAGGAAATTATCCTTGCTTCCAAACACAGGTCCTAGGAGAAAGAAGAGACCTTGGGATGAGGCTGGGAAGGCCATGAAGGGTTTGTTCTTCATCATGATGGAATGGTTTGGTTTGGACAAGACC